TTCCCGGAACACCGTACCCCCGCATCCCCTGCCCAAAGAGATGGGGCGGTGGTACGGCGTTCGGGGAACGCCGTACCCCCTCCGGGGTCCGCAGCCCGGAGGGGGTACGGCGTTCGCGGAACGCCATACCCCCGCTCCCTCTCCCCAAAGAGATGGGGCGGGGGTACGGCGTTCCCGGAACGCCGTACCCTCGCTTCCTCTGTCGGTAGAGATGGGCCGGGGATACGGCGTTCCGAGAACGCTGTACCCCCTCCGGGCTGCGGACCCCGGAGGGGCTACAGCGTTCCCCGAACGCCGTACCACTGCCCCATCTCTTTGGGCAGGGGATGCGGGGTACGGCGTTCCGGGAACGCTATACCCCCTCCGGACTGCGGACCCCGGAGGGGGTACGGCGTTCCCCGAACGCCGTACCACCGCCCCATCTCTTTGGTTAGGGGATTCGGGGGTACGGCGTTCCGGGAACGCCGTACCCCCTTCGGGCTGCGGACCCCGGAGGGGGTATGGCGTTCCCCAAACGCCGTACCACTGCCCCATCTCTTTGGGCAGAAGATGCGGCGGTACGGCGTTCCGGGAATGCCGTACCCCCTCCGGGCTGCAGACCCCGGAGGGGGTACCACGTTCCCGGAATGCCGTACCCCCGCTCCCTCTCCCCAACGAGATGGGGTGGGGGTACGGCGTTCCGAGAACGCCGTACCCTGTCCGGGGCTCGCACCCAGATGGGGTACGGCGTTCCCGGAACGCCGTACACCCGCTCCATCTCCCCGCAGGGATGGGTCGGGGGTAAGGCGTTCCGGGAACGCCGTGCCCCGTCCGGGGTTCTCAAGGAGAGCCTTTTCATTGATTTTTCGAAAAAAAAAAAAGGTGGGGGGAGATCGCGATTCTCCCCCCACCCAGTATGGCGAGCATACATAACCCAAGGCCATGGGAAGTGAGTATCACCAATGTAGCAATCAAGGAAAGCTTTTTTACTGCTTTTTCGAAAAAAAAAAGGTGGAGGGAGATCGCGAATCTCCCCCCACCCAGTTTGGCGAGCATACATAACCCAAGGCTATGGAAAGTGACTATCATCAATGTACCAATCAACGAGGGTTCTTTTAACTGCTTTTTCGAAAAAAAAAAAGGTGGGGGGAGATCGCGAATCTCCCCTCACCCAGTTTGGCGAGCATACATAACCCAAGGCTATCGGAAGTGAGTATCATCAATGT